GCTGCAGCCAACGGCGCGTCTCGTGGCGGCTGTGTACCTGTTCAACCCGTGCACGGCTGTCAGCTGCGCGGCGCTCAGCACGGCCGGCCTGCACCAGCTGCCATTGGCGCTTGTGTTCTACACGGCCGTCACAGGTCAGGAATGCCCTACAACTGTCACAGCCTCAGGGCAGTCACGCACGGCCAACACAGGCCAAACATCCAGCTGTCGCAGAGGAGCCGTGGCTGTCACGGGCCTGTGGCATGTCAGTCACCACGTGATGGTGGAACACTGTCTTGGATTCGTTCAACCCATCATGGGTGGGGCACGTCACAGGTCAGCCACACTGCTAGGATTGACCCGTGGCAGCTTCGGGCCAGTCGCACACGGCCATCACTTATCAGACGCATCGGTCACGGGCGAGACAGGGTCCTCACAGTTCTGACATGGTCGTCACAGCGCTATGTAAGCTACGTGCGGTCCTCACGGACCTGGCACATACCTGGCAGGCCAGCCACGCCCGTGTCACGGGTCGGTCACGCCCGCGTCACAGGTCGGTCACGCCTGTGTCACGGTTCATTCACGCCGGCGACCGGTCACGCACAGACACTCATCATTGATGCATGGCAGTGTGCCTGCAGATAGAAGAATTCGCAATTTTACTACCTGGGCAGTGGGTGGACACACATTCCCCGGTGGACCGAACGGCAGAGCTGAATATCCGCAACTTGGTGTACGGTGTCTGAGGTGTAAAACACCGCAGCGCATTTGCTTGTGTGGTTATAAATTTGCCACATGCCAAACCCGAATGAGCCGTGCATCCGTGAGCTGTGCACACACACCTGTTGCAGTTTCCACGACAGTTTCTCCGGTTCGATCACTTTCACCGGTTCGGACTGACGCGGCCTGCGCGGCCGGCCGCGGCGAGCGCTGACGAAGGCGGGTGCGCGCGACGTCCGCAGGGCGGTGGCCGGCGTGCGTGGCCTGTCTGGGCGTCAGCTGCTACCTGGACCTGTACCCGGCGGTGCTGCTGGTGCCGCTGCTGGCGCTGGCCGCCGACGCCGGCCGCAGCCGTCTGCTGACGGCGCTGGGCTGCGCGGCCGTCACCGGCGCCCTGCTGCTGCTCTCGGCTCACGGCCTCGGCGGCTGGAGCTTCCTGCGCGCCACATACGGCTTCATGTGCGTGTGCGGACGGGGACGGGCGAGGATGCTGACCTGTATGCCAGGTGACCGGGGCACGGAGGCGGCTGCTCGATGGGCTTCGGACTGGGGTGCTGACCTGTATGCGAAGTGACGGGGCACGGAGGCGCCCGCCCGGTGGGTGTGACAGCAAGGGGATGGGGACTCGGCAGACGCCCTGCGTGACGGTGACTGGTCTTTTTTAATTGGATGGGGTGGCTCCTGTATTCTTCCCCGTGATCATATGTTCTAGTGGCTTTCAGCACCTCTCAGTGTCATTTGACTAACCATACCGCCGCGTAACATGCGTTTGACATGCATGTAATCAGACTTTGAAACACTTATGTGACACTAAGTGAAGTTTGTCTCATTGCGTCCAGGTTGCAGTCAAGAGGCGAATATCGTGTTCTATAATGCACGCTAATTCCAAGGCAGAAGAATACTAAAATCCACTGTTTTTAAACCGGTTGTGCCGCAGCCTGGTGTGCCACCGGCCACGGCCGCTGCCCCCCTCCCCCCCACCCCCGCTCCTGTTTCCGGTCCGGAGCGGAGTGCGCCGCGGGAAGGGCGTCGCGTGTGACGGTGACGGCAAACGCGGTCGGTTTCAGGCTGTGGACGTGGGACCTGTCCCCGAACGTCGGCCTCTTCTGGTACTTCTTCACGGAGATGTTTCAGCACTTCGAGTCACTGTTCATCGCTACTTTCCAAATCAACGCCTTCATCTACGCCGTTCCGCTCACTCTCCGGTACGCGACCGGGCTGGCGCGTCCATCGGTCCGGAACGTCACAGCCTGGTGTGCTGTCTGTGTATGCGCCGACTTAGGGTGTGATGCTGTTAGAGGTGAATCAGAAATGTCTGCAGTTAGTATCCGCGTTGTCACAGTTAACCATAAGGCAGGGCTGCCTGTAGCGCCGTCTGATATTGGCAACAGTGTCATGTCAGGTGGACTCCTGCTTGGCAGTGTCTGGTGTCTGCTGGAGTTGGCCGCCCCTGGGCCCTTGCAGTCCCCGGTGTCTGCTGGGGTGTGCTGCTCCTGGGTCCTTGCAGTCTCCAGTGTCTGCTGGAGCGGGCCGCTCCTGGCGCCTCGCAGTCTCCAGTATCTGCTGAGGCGGGCCGCTCCTGGGCCCCCGCAGTCCCCGGTGTCTGCTGAGGCGGGTCACTCCTGCCCCTGTTTTGACGCCGCGCTCCGTGACCGGGTGTTGCGGGTGTGTTTTCCCTGCGGATGACGACGTTGTCTCGACTCCAGATTCCGTGACCGGCCCGTGCTGGTGATGTTCGCGCTGCTGGTGCTGATGGTGATCTTCAAGTCATACCCGAGCGTGGCTGAGGCCGGCCTGTATCTGGCGCTGCTGCCGCTCTGGCGGCCGCTGGCGCCATATGCCCGCTACGCCTTCCCCGTCAGCTGCTTCTACCTGTCGGTGACTGTGCTGGCGCCCGTCATGTGGACCCTCTGGATCCATGCCGGCTCGGCCAACGCCAACTTCTTCTTCGCCGTCACGCTCGCCTACAACGCCGCCCAGGTGAGAGGCGCCGGCGCGGGCGCTAGCCTCCCTGGCTGGCCGGTCGCCTCGCCGGCGACCCGCGGCGCCGGGTCGGGCTGCCGCCGTCGCCGCTGCGGTCTTGACCGGGCGGGCCGGGCTGCGGTGATGAGGACCTCGGTCTTTCCCGCGGCCAGCACCAGACTCTCCCTAGCCGTGCGTTCACCGGGACGGAGAGGCTGTCACGTACACCGAATGGTCGCCTCAGGGCAGTGTACGGTTTTATTCTGTCAAGACCAAGGTTCATGAGACTGAAGAAAACTGAGACAGGTTGAACTGTGTATCATACGTTTTAAACTATCCCGGCATGAATTAAGAGCAACTGTGGTTAGGAGGAACCCTCACCACGGTCCTTCGCGTCAAACCATGGGAACCACCGCCATACATGGCAGACATGTGCGCTCGAAACTCTTGATGGATCTTAGACAACACATAAAGTTGATCTAATCGGAATTCTAAAAAGCTTTTAACCTTGGGTCAACCTTGAAAGGTATAAAAGTAGAGACGTTGAGCATGGGTCCGGCATCGATTTTCACAGCGATCAACGTTCTGTTGGGGACAGCTACCAGCAAGCAGAGTCAGAACTTCCGGTTGCATTTTTTTGGGCCGAGTCGATTCGTTCCGTAATTGACGATCGCTCTTCCGCGCTGTAGTAATTGTGTTCCCCGTAGAGTCTCCAAAGCATTGTTAACAGCAGTGGCGTGTTTGTAGCGGAGCGCGCGGCACTGAGTTGACGAAACGATCGCGTGAGCGGTGACACCACCATCAGCCAACGATTTATGGGAAAGGCACCTCTAAAGAACCCATAATTCGCCGACATAACTGCCAAAAGCTCCTACGCTGAACATTTACAGGCTAGAGCGTCATGCCGCCAATCCGGTGAAACAGCAGTCAGCCCCGACACCCGCGCTTTTGTGCGGTCCAGGGACAGGATATCACAATGGGGAGGACGAAAATCTTCACGCTGTGAGCGGACCCCCAACCCCAGGACGTCAGTGGTCTGTGTGTCAGAGGCGGACATGGAACACGCTGTGAGCGGACCCCCAACCCCAGGACGTCAGTGGTCTGTGTGTCAGAGGCGGACATGGAACACGCTGTGAGCGGACCCCAACCCCAGGACATCAGTGGTCTGTGTGTCAGAGGCGGACATGGAACACGCTGTGGATAGACCTCGACCCCTGGACGTCAGCGGCATGTGCGTCAGAGACAGACAAAGAACATGCTGTAGACGGACCCCTGACCTTTGGACGTCAGTGGGGCGTGCGTCGGGCACGCTATGAAGACGCGGAGAGACCAATGGGCATGATATATAATGAGCCAATGTCCAACTTGGCTGAAAAACAAACTATGTACAGCAAGTCGTTTGTTTACCTAACAGCGCCTGGCAACGGCCGGCACGTGTTAACGGTCCTGCGTGCCTGGGAAATGGGCAACTTCTGATGACATGCAGATGACGTGATCGATGATGGCGCCCTTGACCAAACAGCGTGCTAGTAATAGTGGTATCGATTAACGCCAGAATGCGCCCATGCAGCGCCCATGCAGCGCCCATGCGTTTCCCCGAGCCGAGTCGCTGGCGCTTTCTGCCCTTTACACATACCCGGTTTTGCCGCATTTTTCATAGCGTGTCTGGCGCACCTCCCAGCGATGATACAGTTTGGTACCTCGGTGGGCAGCATTTGCTTACGAAGGGGCCTAGGCTGGGACAGCCAGGTGGCAAGCGCTCGGCAGTCCAACTCGTCCTTTTGTTGGCATATAACCACACGGGTGGGGGGCCTGCACCGCGGCCTTTCCACTTGTCGCGCAAGTTTAATGACAGGGGAGGGGAACATGTGTCGCGGCCTTTACACTTGTTGGGCACGTTTAAGAAAGCCTGAGACGATGCGTGAGATACGCACGTCGTGTTTATCATTAATGACCCGAGTTTCCTATCAGTACGACTGGATATTTCCAGCCGGTGCATCCCTCACCGCAGAAGATCGCCCGCCCCCGCGTCACAGCGCCAGCCCGGCCGCCACCCACCCGCCGCCTCCTGCCGCAGATCTTCCTGGTGACGGACCTGCTGTTCGCCCAGCTGAAGCGAGACCACGCGCTGCGTCACGGCTCCAACACCGAGGTGGACGGAAAGCCGGCCAAGCTCGTGTTGTGCTGAGTCGCCTCCGCCAGCGGTCGCGACCTCTCGGTGATCGGCCGGGTACCCCGCTGTCTCAGTCAGCACGAGCGGGCGGGCGGCCGCCGCCCCGCCGGTCATCCTCAGTGAGTCATTCGCCATACTCCCCACCCGTCTGCGTAAACAGCGTGCATTTAATGTACTGTCGTGTAATATACTGTCATATGTACGACACGACTCTCCGGGCGCTGCTTTCCAGGGCAGCTCCATATTGCACTAGCTCTCCTTCCGTCACGGCCCGGTGACTCAGACAGGGCCGCTACCCAGACCCGCCCGCTGCTGCGGCCCGGGAACACTCGGCCCGGGCCGGCGACGCTTCCTCTCGAGACGAGGCGAATACGAGGCGATCCAGCCGGCCGGCGGCTCCGTCACACACCGCTCTGTCATATACCGCCCTCACAGGCGGCTGGGGCGGCTGGCTCTCCGCGTGGCTCGCGGCGGCGGCCGGTCAGTGGCCGACACCGCGCGTGTCGGCGCCGGCGCCTCAGGCCGTCTGTCGCTCTCGGATGTTCTTGGAGATCATCGACAGCACCTCCAGCGCGGCCACCGGGATTTTGGTGCCTGAAACGAGCGAACACGCCGGGCTAGGATGAGACAGGGCAGAAGGGAAACGGCACAACACGCTATCGGTGAATGTCATATTGTTACTACGCGTTGTAGACCGTTTTGTTGGAGATATTTCGGAGGCATATTTTGCACGAGTGTCCAGGTGATCAGCTTCCGCTCAGTGAAGCGAGTAGTGAAGACACCGGTTTCGACATCCCACAAGAGGACTTCTGGCTTAACGGGCGATGTTTGCTTGCAACCGGACCGCATGGTGTCGCGTGACGGTGTCACGCGGCCTCCTCTGGTCGACCAGGACTCTTGCCCAGTCCAAGTGACCGTCCAAGAAGCCACATTAAACTGGCTTTGGGGTGCGTGAATTCGCACACTTTCAGCACAGTAGACCATGCCCGATGCTTTATCAAGTGAGCAATCATTATGGACAGGGGTAAAGAGCAACACGAGCAGGTGCACGTGGGCGATACGGTATGGACAGGATGCGGAATATACACGCACAAAGAGAGGACATTTGACATGCACGCATCAGATGGCAGGCAACATTGTATCCGGGGGCACACGTTTGCTTTGAAAAAAGTTTTTCAATACAAAATTATTTACCCCGCCTCTTGAAATGCGGTCACACTATCAAGGGCAGTTCCAAACAGCCCGAGCTGTCGTGCTCCTGACCGCTTCAAGCCAGACCGGGTTCGTAACAGAGCGCGCGACACGCGTCCGCGCTGGCAGCAGCCGTCGCGCCCGCCCCGCTCACCCGGCCCGAAGACGGCGGCCGCGCCGCAGTCGTACAGCATCTGGTAGTCCTGCGGCGGGATGACGCCGCCCACGATCACGAGCGCGTCGCCGCGGCCGGCGGCGCGCAGCGCGCGCACCAGCGCCGGCACCAGCGTGCGGTGGCCGGCGGCCAGTGTCGACACGCCCACCACGTGCACGTCCGCGTCCACCGCCTGCTGCGCTACCTCCTCCGGCGTCTGGCGGGCGCACGCCACGGCGGCGTTAGAGGGCGCCCACCGCTGTCGACCGGCCGCAGCGGCAGGCGCCAGGCGGCCCGCATGGCGTACACACACGTGACCCACGCACGTCGGGCGCCGAGATGACTGTGAACGATACCGCTGGATTGAGCGGCTGGCCAGCGAATGGCCCAGTTGACACGGCGCTAATGTTTTTCGCGCAATAGTGGGGATTTCTCGTCGCTAACGTATGAGTGTCCATTGTGCCCCTTCTGACCAACTAAACCTCATGAAAAAACTTATTTCAAACACGGCGAAAACTCCTCCCTGCATTAATAAACCTACGCCGCCGGGTAGGCCGAGTGTCCAGCAGAACCCGCCGCGGCGGGCCGCCGTCAGCCGAGAGGGCTTCCAGCGCCATTACCTGGAAGAGCGGGCCGACGTCCACGTCAAAGCCCAGGTCGGCGAAGCCGGTGGCAATGACCTTGGCGCCGCGGTCGTGACCGTCCTGGCCCATCTTGGCCACGAGGATGCGCGGCCGGCGGCCCTCCTCCTCGGCAAACTCCGCCACCTGGCGGCGGTCGGGCGGTGTCACGGAGCGGCGGCAGGAGAGGGGGTCTCCGGCGCACCTGGTCATACCATCCGTGGGACTGGTGCACTCCCCGTCCCTGCAGGATGCGTGGACACTCGGCTTACACGAGCCGTCGGCGCAGGTAATCCCTGGGGCGGAAAGCAGAGAAGGTATTGTCACTGCGGGCACTGCCCCACCGCGAGAAGGGTATGCTGAGAGACCGGGGATTGCAAGAAGGGTCATCACAAGACGACTGCCGCCGACGCAAGTGGGGACATGCTAGGGTCCGGTGTTCGCTGGGCTTGCATTATAGAACGGCCGGCTCGCCGGCGTGCCGCCCGGCTCGGCTTGGACAATGAGCTGGCCGGTGGCGGCGCCTCCAGCTGCGGCATACCATCGGCTGGGAAATGGGCAACTTCTGATGGCATGTAGATGACGTGATCGGATCGGCTGAGCTCGGCGGTGCCGGCTCAGGCGCCGCCATCGCCGACGCTCTGCACCTCACCTTCTGCATGACACGCTGCAAGTCCTCTGTGTCGGCGTACTCGGACTTGTACGCGCCCGAGACAAACTTGTCAGTAGCCACGTGCCGACCGAACACCTCCTCCATGGCCTGCGTGATCTCGCCGACAGTGGCGCGCGCCCGCGCTGCTGCCACCTGCCGACCGCATCCAAAACTCAGGTTACAACACCCGCTGCTAGTACAGCCTTTCGACGGCATAGCCCCATGTCCTTGTGACTGTCCCCCCCCCCCATTCCCCCCTCTCACGATATCTCCCTCCGTAGACGCCGATTAATAAGAGACCCCGCGTTTAACAAAACATGATTTACACAAAGACAAATATTGTAACAGCTTATAATAGCCGGTCCCCAGCGGCCGCCAGTCCGGGGCCGAACCGCCACTCACAGCCGCCTTCAGCAGGTTGCCCTCGCCGGAGCGCGCCGTCTCTGTGAGCTCGTGCAGGGCGCGCCGCACGGCCTCCGCGTCTCGCTCGGCCCGCAGCCGCTCCAGCTTGGCGCACTGCAGCCGGTACACCTGCTCGTTGTCAATCATCAGCACGTCTAGCGGCTCCTCCTTCTCCAGCCGGTACTTGTTGACGCCGACGATTGTCTCTGTCGGTCGGCGGCGCGTCGTCAGCTGGCTGTAGTTAGCCGTCAGCTGGCTCCGGCAGTCGTCAGCTCGGCTGTGTTAGCCCGTCAGCTGGCTCCAGCAGCTGTTAGCTGGCTTCGGTAGCCGTCAGCTGGCTCCGGTAGCCGTCAGCTGGCTCCGGCAGCGCTGTCCGCTTCCTCCAAGCGTGACCAAACAGCATGCTAAGCGCCCTCATCTGACTTTGCGCGTCGTGTTTATCATAAATGGGCGAGAAATGTCCGCTTAAGTCGATCTGCTTTTGGCGCAAATTCCTCCGATCCGTTGGTGATGTAACTCGAAGGACAAATTCAGCAAGGAAGTAATCCATCAACTTCCAGGGTGACAGTGACAAGTTCCCAGCATGAAAATCAATAGGAAATATGTCACGTGACACCAGACCAACAGAACTACACGGAGAAGACCGGAATCCCAGAGTTTTTGCCAGCGAGCGCGAGCCCGGCAGGCGCCGCCGGCGGACCGACCTTTGCCGGAGTCGATGGCGGCCTGTTTGCGGGCGGCGCACTCCTCGATTTTGAGCTTGGGCCAGCCGGAAGCGACGGCCTCGGCCATGCCGCCCATCTCCTCCACCTGGTCAAGACTCCCGCCCGGCGCGGCACATCTCGGCCGTCAGCGCCTCCATGGCGTACGAGCCCGCCCACGGGTCAATGACCTGCCGCACAAGGGGCAGAGGTTAGCGCCCCAGATCAGCCCACACATCTCGGCCGTCAGCGCCTCCATGGCGTACGAGCCCGCCCACGGGCAATGACACCGCCTCACATGAGGGCAGAGGTTAGCGCCCCAGATCAGCCCACACACATCTCGGCCGTCAGCGCCTACATGGCGTCCGAGCCCGCCCGCGGTCAATAACCTGCCGCACATGGGGGCAGAGGTTAGCGCCCCAGATCAGCCCACACACATCTCGGCCGTCAGCGCCCCCATGGCGTACGAGCCCGCCCACGGGTCAATGACCTGCCGCACATGGGGGCAGAGGTTAGCGCCCCAGATCAGCCCACACACATCTCGGCCGTCAGCGCCCCCATGGCGTACGAGCCCGCCCACGGGTCAATGACCTGCCGCACACGGGGGCATAGGTTAACCGCCCAAGTCATCCCCGACAACGGATGCGCGGCTTTATACACGTGTCTGTATGTGACTTATGTGCCTTGTGTGCATGCGTGTATTCGTCCATGGGTGAGAAGATAAGGCAGCAAGATGTAAGTGACATCAACAGGAAGCTAATGGAGCGGCGGCAGATAGATAAAATATAATATATACATATATATATATATATATATATATATATATATATATATATAACATATAATATATTAGATAACATATAAATAAAATATAATAATAGATAGATAAAACAGTTCTATCGTAGTGAAGTAGCGTGTTTGACAAAGCCCGGTGAAAGCTGAACGGATTAATACATCGACAGCGGAGCCCATCCAGAGGAACGCCACGGTGGCGGGAGGCTTCTCGGGTTTCAAGGGCCGGAGGCTACCCTGGTCTCAAGGTCCGGAGGCCACCCTGGCGGCAAGAACACAACGGCAGGACTCGCCTGACCGGAGGGATGCAAGCAGCAAGGCTCCCTGATCTGGGGGATGTAGCGGCTAGGTTCCATGACCTAAGGGAGTCAGTGATAGAACCCTCTTGATCCTGGATCCTGGGGATGCAGCGACAGGGCTCCCCCGACCTGGGGAACGCAGCAGCGGGGCCTCACTGACCTGAGGGGCTCAATGGCAGGGCTCTCCTGACCCAGCGGCAGGCCTCCCTGACCCTGGGAATGCGGGCGGCAGGGCTCCCCTGACCTGGGGGATGCCCGTCTCCTCCTGCAGGATGATCTGCGTGTTGCGGGCGATGCGGGCCGAGAAGACGGACGGCAGCGCCAGCGCCTCGTCGAACGAATTGGTGTGCAGCGACTGCGTGCCGCCGAACACGGCCGCCATCGCCTCCACCGTCGTGCGGATGATGTTGTTGTACGGGTCCTGGAGGCGGGGGCAGCGGCGTCACGACGCTGCGGTAGCGGCAGCCAGGCCGGGCGGCCCGCCCGACACGTGAGGCGGCCGGCCCTCCGGACGCCGGCCCACTCCACGACGGCCGCGCCCAAGGGTGACGGCAGGCTGCCGCTCGTCACCTTCCGATCAGCACTGCGATACACCGCACATCAGGTATGGCGTGGCAACGACTACCGGTCGGGTCAGAAACAGACTGCGTGGCCATACCAAAGGACAAGTGGTGGGTGGGGAAAGTTCTAACGGAGACCGCGGCCTTTTGCAACGCAAAACGTCGCCAGACGCACATCAAGTTCGAACTCCGCGTGCCACCATGCTTTTGGAAGCTGATCACCCTGGAAGAAACACATTTATTTCTCCAGTGAGAGCTCATTCACGCGCAGCCGTTCGGTGGCTGGTTACGGTCCAGCGAGGACAGACCCCTGGCCGGCTGTGAAGGGGCCGCCGCCGCCGCCGCCTTCCTGACCTGCTCCGTCAGGGACCAGCCGGACGTCTGCGAGTGCGTCCGCAACATCATCGACTTGTCGTTCTTAGGGCTGAACTTCTCCTTCATAAGTGTGGCCCAGAGCCGGCGCGCTGCGCGCATCTTGGCTATTTCCTGCGGCCGGTCACGACGCACGGTGAGGTCATGAGCGTGGTGTCTCCGTTACAATGTGACACTGCATGTCTGCGTCTTATTCTATGCACATTGGAACAAGCTGCAGCACCTT